ATGTTTCTGGCAACACAAATGAATCGGATAGCTCTATAAGTAATGAAATAATTAGCCTGGAAAATTCCAGCGGCTGACAGTGCAGCCTGGACAGTGTGACTTCTTTATTTGTTTTTGTAGAAGATACGCAGCCTCTCATGCTTGTGGTTTAGATCTGCAGTATCTATGGTGAACATATAAATAAACATGAAACTGTGCTGCGCTACACACGCAGCTCTCAGACTGAACTGCCCTTCACAGCTCCGCGCTGCACTTCTAAACATGCCTTGCAGATCACTTGTCATTTACAAGCTATAGTAAAGGACAACTGAAGCCTTACATAGCAGCTGCGTGGTGCACTGGCACAGGGTGGGATTTACGAAGGAGGCTTCCGAGATTCCAGTGTCTTCCTGTAGAAGAGGCTCCTCAGATGATTGGACAGCCGTCAGAGACACTCTATGCTTCAAATGACCTTTTCTGGTTGGACAAAAGAGTCACCTTAAAGGAGGTTATCGCATTAAATACTGACGACTGCTAGAAAAAAAATTGCAAAGCTTGTTCTTGTTTAGCATTTATGCAATGTGAGTTGACATTTTAATTTATATTTTAGGTTCAGTACAATACTGACAGCATTTGTGGTTGAGATGAATTTATTTCAGAATCTAATGATTTATTTATAAAATACATAAACATGTTGATTGTGTTGTTATTTTTAAGAAAAAGAAAGAAAGTTCGTTTTGATTTTTGCGGCATACAGTCAAATATTTCAGGGTGATACAATTGTACTAAAGAAGCTTCATTGACAGAAAGTAATGTGGTACAACCAGCAGTATACAGAAGCATGCAGAAAAAAATAAAAATAAAGCAAAAAATTGTAGAGAAGGCCCCTTAAGGCTGTGTTTCAATAAATTTCTTAAAATATATGATAATTTGACGTGTCATGTGGCATGACACCCTGAAACCTAATGAATTAGTAATTCACAAGATATTAGTTAAAATATATACTTGTTTATCTTGAAAAATATATTCAATATCTTATTTCTTAAATAATGATTAAGGTCTGTTTACTTATGTATTTAAATAAATAATAATGCAATTTGTTTTGTTTTTATTTGACAGTTACACCACATGACATATTAGTATATCATGACTCATTACATTTAAACATTTCTTAAAAATGTATGTGTTTCAAAAGATTTTTCCTTTTCTTTATCATGGACACAGTTTTTTGTCATTGACCTGAACCTGGACATATAATAAAATAATCATTTAAATATCAATGGCAATTTTTGCAAAAATAAGATGAGTTGAAATTTCTAATCAACATTATTATGCCACAAAAACACTCAGATCCAACAGCACTGAAACAACAGCAAGGAATAACAAGCCGTGGATGAAGCTATCTTCACCCGCCGTCCAAATGGCAAACATAATGAGATACAACATTGACATCCACATTACTCTGTTGCGTTTGTGATTCTCTCTCAGCACCTCTGCTGCTGTTAGTGGATATCTTCAGTGCATTCTCCTGTAATCCACTCATGCGGCAGCTACAGCCACTCACTGTGTTTTCTCATAGGAAGATTATATGCCATTGTGTAACAGTGATAGCGTTGTTTATCTGGTAACCACACCTCTGAAAACTGTAGTAGCCAGCTAGGCAAAACCTAATTAGAGACGATTCATTCCCCACCATGCCAAATGGTTATGGCTGGTTTTCCAAAAATGAGTGACGCAACTTATGGTTGAGGCATTAATAACAGGAACAGATGGGTTTTATCTATCACATCCATGTGAGCACATTATTGCAACCAGGAATACAAGGTTCTTTTACAGCTCTTTATAATTAGCTGAGAACATTGACACTTGTGCTAAAGGAGGATTTGTGATGACAGCTCGTTACAGATGTGAAGAATAGGAACAAGTAAATATTATAATGTTGTTTTAATGCAACAATTTCGGTCAGGCATAGCACAAGCAAGATTCTTCTAGACAGAAATGAGACTAAAGGAGAGCAAATTGAGATTGGAGATGTGTTCAAAAAAGATCTGAACAATGTTGTTCAGACCACAGAGTCTGAAATCAAAAGTCGGAGCTTTCAAAATCCGTGTATCATTCGATCATTCGTTTTTTGATTTAATATTGAAAGTAGAAAAATGAGAAAACGGCTCCTTTTTCGTGTTTTTTCCCAAAAAATGAAAAACGAGAATTCAGCTTAAATTTTCATTTTCCGTTCATGGGTGGAAAAATGAATAAACAGCTTGAATATTCGATTTCTACACGTGGGCGGGAATTAAACGCCCCTTTCTGCTGACTGGTCAGGCGAATATCAAACCGTGCCATCATCAGTTCTTCCGCAGTATCATGCAGCAGAATAATAGTCCTCCACTGCTGCAGTTGTACGGATTAATAACCCATTTTATCAATTTCATATTTTTCTCATCAAACAGACTAATGAATAGCTCAACACAACTCGTACCGGGGCAGAGTCTAGACAGGTATTTCTTCTGTATAGACCAGCGGTTCTTAAAGTGATAGGGGTTCCGCAAAATAATTAGCTATAGCCTAAAGTATTTCCAGACTGTAAAGTTGCTTTTTTTATCATGATACATAGGCCTACTGTGATTTATTCCAAAGTGACTTATATGATGCATTTAATGTAAAATTATCTAAATGAAGCCTTTTAAAAGACGAGTATTCCCTGTGGTTCATGTTTGTGGCATGTGCCAGAAAGATTCTCAAGGAGACAGAGTCGCGCTAAAGCAGAGCATTCTGTTGTTCTCTTTATTTTTCAAAGGCATGACATTTTGTAGTTATTTTGAACGTAACGTTACACAATTAAAAATATACATTTTACCATACAACTATAAATGACAGAGTATTAAGTTATTCCCCCTCGATGGGGAAAAAATCCAATTGAACATCAATCAGTACTCAATATTAATTTAAGCTGCTTTAAATATGACTGGAGCTTATTTCCTGTGTACTTCTGTGCTTAACTGTAGTCGCATCTGTCTGCTTATTGAGTTTATTTAACCCATCGCAATTTATTGGAACTCTGTGAACTAGAGTGACTACTCACCTTAATGTTGTTCTAAAGGCTTATTACTTAATAACACAAAAATGTCCTGCTCCCACTTGCCAATTTAATGGCAGAGAATGGTGACTTTAGGTTTTGTTTGTTGTTTTTAAGCGGATGCATATCTGTCGTAAAATAATCATATGCATCTCGTGGCGTATATTCCAAGCATTCTGAAGGTATACTGAGGGTTTGGTGAGAAACAAACTGAAATGGCAAGCTATTATATTTTGTGAAAATCTTGCATTGCAGTGCGAGTGCGCAGTAGCTCACGACGCGCACAAGTGCATATCCTTTTGAGATATCAATTATAATCAATTTTAATAAAACACAAGACTACATTATAAATCTCTAACAGTAGGCTATTTAATATCTGTTGTTCTCCGGTTGTCAGTCAAAATGACAGTTCTTGCATGAACATTATAGGCCTATAAATACACAAGCCAATTTATTATTCCTTCCTTTTTGTCTTAGTGTTTAAAATGTTTATTTTGAAACTAATTAATTAATTAATTAATTAAACAAACAGACTTACTGGGTGAGCAGGGTAGGCTATGACAGCTGTCATATCATACCCTGCCATGCCAGCTGATGCAAAGAATAGAATTTATATCTACACAGAAGAAAGCCCTGTCTAGACTCTGCCCCGGTATGAGTTGTGTTGAGCTATTCATTAGCCTGTTTGTTTGATGAAAAAATATGAAATGTAGTTGCAATAAATGTGTTAAGAATCCATACAACTGCAGCAGTGGAGGACTATTATTCTGCTGCATGATACTGCGGAAGAACTGATGATGGCACGGTTTGATCTTCAGCTGACCAATCAGCAGAAAGGGGTGTTTAATTCCCGCCCACGTGTAGAAATCGAATATTCAATCTGTTTATAAATTTTTCTACCCCTGAACGAAAAACGAAAATTTAAGCTGAATTCTCGTTTTTCGTTTTTTTTTTTCAAAATCCTTGTATCATTCGATCATTTATTTTTTTATTTAATATTGAAAGTTGAAAAATGAGAAAACAGCTCCTTTTTCGTATTTTCGTTTTTTTCCAAAACACGAAAAACGAGAATTTGGATTTCAAAATCCGTGTATCATTCGATCATTCGTTTTTTGATTTAATATTGAAAGTAGAAAAATTAGAAAACGGCTCCTTTTTCGTTCTTTCGTTTTTTTCCAAAACACGAAAAACCAGAATTCAGCTTAAATTTGTGGTCGAATATCCTATTTTTCTCAAAATATGCCCGATTACTGAAGCACAATAGACTGTGATTGGTGTTTGAAGTTGACTTTAAGTGGTTCTGCAGCAGACAGGTGGAGTGTTCAGGATACCTGTTTGAAAAGGATTTTTATATCTCCAATCTGTAAATTGGGAATTCCCACTCTTTTATCCTGAGATAACTGGGCACCAAATGTCCTATTTTGCATTGAGCATTTATACAATATTTTAAATCGAACAAAAAATGACCTAAATTTGTCCCTCGTCTCTTTAAACCCAAAATGAGAAAATTATTTAAATTGGAATCTGCGGTGTTGTTGCGGTGCAGGTGGTAAGCTGTAATTCCCTCAAGAGTGTATCACCTGCTTCACCATGCGCTTTGCAGTGAAAACAGTTGTTGTGCTGCCGCGTGTGGAGATGTTAAGGGTGGTGTTATCAATAAATTATAGCGGTATTAAAAGCGTAGAGGCTGAGTCGAATGGAGGCTCCCCCTGTTATAAAACAGGCTTTTAGCATTTTCTCGGGCACTCCGCCTGTCAGCCTAAATCTCGCTCAAGCATCCGAAACGAGTCGACAGGAAAAGACCTGAGGGGTGGAGGTGGCTGTTAAAGATGAGAAGAGGAGGAGTGGGGGGGGCTTGTCCCGAGCCTTGTCTTAAAGAGCGGGAAGGGGGAGATCTCATAGTCAGTCGCAGTCAGCATCTCTCTGGATCTCTGTCTCCCTGTAGGTAATTACACCGTTCCGAAGGCTTATCCTGTGCGCCGAGAACAGGAAAGAAATGGAGGACTGGATCAGCTCGCTGAAATCGGTTCAGTCCAGAGAGCATTACGAGGTAAGAACGCAGTTTGACTTGAGTTGCATCTTGAACTATCGTTCTGCACGTTTGTTGTTTTTCAAACACACTTCCTTGGAAATTAGAAGCTGAATATGCATGCCTTAGAATCCCCTTAACTGTTTTCAATCAGGTCCTGTGTATTTCGCCACATGCTTTGTTTGTTCAAATCCAGCTTCTAAACAGATCTCCTTTCAGATTTCCTCTTCTCTTCTCTCATAATGAAATATTATGCATAAATATAATGTTATCCATTTAAAAATAGTTCTGGAAAAAGGGGATTTTGCTCTGATTGTTGTTGCTAATTCGCAAAACTCTAATTGTGCATGTGTGCATGGGGTGGCTTTTAGCATCTGACACCAGTAAATGAATGTGCGGACTGCAGCGTTGAGTGTACGCTCACTTGAGATGAAGATGGTTATGTAAGACTCTCAGCCCCCGTGTTCTGCAATACCACACCCAGAACTCCAGCGCTCTGCTGGCACCCCTGACTGCGGGCACCATCCTCCCTATTCAATCGTTTTAACATTCAAGACACATCAAACCGACAACTGGCCTCTTAAATCACTGTCCTGTTGCATCAGGCTGCTGCAGGTAGATGCCCATGCCGGAAGCGCAGGGGGAAACCTGTTGTCAGGGAGAGCCGCGGTGTGATATTGCATGCAGGAGGGTTGCGTGTCGTACACCTGTGGTTATTAAATGTGTGTCAGTCTGTGTGTGTTGCATGTGTGTGTATATGAGAGCTGAAAAATGTAGTCTTTATTTTAAGGGCTCTGAAAAAGTCTTATCCTGGCGCTGCCAATTTGTCTTAACTTCTCCTTTGCTAGACGGCACAGTTTAATGTGGAACATTTCTCAGGGATGCACAACTGGTATGCCTGCTCCCACGCTCGCCCTACCTTCTGTAACGTCTGTCGGGACAGCCTCTCAGGGGTCACTTCTCATGGCCTCTCTTGTGAAGGTAGGTGTCTGCCCATCTCTCTCTCTCTTTCTCAAACCTGTATGTCGGATAATCCCTCTTTGATTATGGAGCTGCTTCGCTCCGCTCACTGTCCTTCCCCAAAGGTGTCATATTTTCATCAAAGTTGGTCAAGGGTGGTCAGAAATGGCTCAGGGCTACGTTAGAGTGGGTTGCACTGGTCAGAGCTACTTAGTGCAGAAGCACAGCTAATTGAGGTGGGGAAAAGTTCCGGACGGAAACGCAATGCAGTAATAAATCGATACACTGACGCTGGGTATCTGTCTTTCTGTCAGGACCACTATCGTCAAAGATGATTGACAATTAGCATACAGTTTGGATTGGCAGTATTGTTCTGTTCTGGGCAAGAACTCCTTGTGCATCCATGCAGCCTAGCATGGATGAGAGCAGGGAGAGCAGCGATAACCCCCCCAGGGTAAACGGAACAGAACCAACATGAATGTATTGCAGATATCATTAAAGTTCAATAATGTTATGTACCCATTTTAGAATTTGTCTGATTCAAAGGAGTGACAGAGGAGGAGTTGGGGATGGAGGAGGGTAATTAGCTATTGAACAATGCGAAAACTGCTGATAATACTGAGGGACCTTATATATATGAATGCTTAGATAGGTGTTGTATTCCTATAGGTAGATGGGATCAGCTGAGAGTCAGCTGATGTGAGCTTGACTAACGTGACCTGCCAGAACTAACGCTACACTAGATTTTATTTGTTTAATTTGAACTTCAAGGATATGATGTGTTTGCTTTTTATATTAAAATGCACATCAATCAGATGAAAACGGTTGAGATTGGAGATATAAAAATCCTTTTCAAACAGGTATCCTGAACACTCCACCTGTCTGCTGCAGAACCACTTAAAGTCAACTTCAAACACCAATCACAGTCTATTGTGCTTCAGTAATCGGGCATACTTTGAGAAAAATAGGATATTCGACCATAAGAATGAGCTTGTAGAATGAGATTGGATTTTATTTGTCTGGAATTATTTGGATCTTATAAAGGGGGACTGGAGGGGAAGGATTGAAGGGGAAGGACTGAAAAGTAACGGTATTCTGGGTTTGCCTGGTTAACTTCGGTTAGATTCTACTGTTAAGTGGACAAAAATAATGTTTTTCAACTGATGGTAGTTCAAAAGTAGCTGTGCATTCTGATGAAAAAACTTGTAGCAGCATACGGATCATGAAAATTTCAACTAAAACTAAAATTGTAACTAAAACTAAAACCAAAACCATAACAAATCGTTAATTAAAACAAAATAAACATTAACTGAAATAAAATGTTAAAAAATGTTCTTAAAAATGGTTTTATTTCAGCTCAACATGTATCATTTTCATTTAGATTATCTTGAAGTACTAAAATAACCAAAACTAAATAAAAGTAATACATTGATAATAAAAATAATAATAAATTAGTAATAAAAAGAATTAGTAATAAACAATAAATAAAAAAAATTATATACACAATTATAAAACTAATAAAAATGTCAAAGAAATGGTAATAAACAATACATTTAAAAAATATATACGCATAATTAAAAAACTAATAAAAATGTCAAAGAAATGCAACAAAAGTACTAAAACTTTAATGAAAATCAAAATGAAAATATACAAATAATATCTCATTCATAATATTAACATAAACTATAATAGTGTAGTATCAATGATACTAAAATAATACTTATTATATTATAGTTTTCCCAGGTATTCATTCATTCATTCATTCATTCATTCATTCTTCCTATTTGCCACAAGGAGTTCTAATATAGAGTGATCAGACACATGGCATTTATGACTCAGGTGACTGGCTTAAAACTTTAGAAAGATTAAAAGATTAGAAAGACATTTTTTGGAATAACATGAACCAGTGAATAGTACACAATATGAACATGCTTAAAGAATAAAAGGCTAATCTGTAAAATAAAATAAAATTAATTAATAAAAGTTGTTTAAAATACTGGTGACCAATCACAACACTTAAAATATATACTTTCCCTTGTACATTCTTTGTATAAGGTATTTTCTATATATTTTGTTTTCATATAAAATGTTGAAGTTTGTGGCTATTTTTTTTGTTATTTGTCAACTACACGCAGAAGCACCTCAAAGTACATGCTGGCTAAAACACTCTCACTAAAAATACTGCATCCAGGATCATGCATTATGCATGTTAATGTGTGACATCGGCTGTGTCCGAAAACTCTAAAATGCTGCCTTCGGAGGCAGAATTCTAAGGCAGGAAGGCATCAAGGCACGTCCAAATCCAAATTCTGCTTTACTTCCTGTCTCCGGAGGTACCTTCTTCTGATCGAATTTTGAAGGCAGCATAGATGTATCCTTCGCTGCCTATGATATCCCTCAATCCTGTGCGTTCCATTCCGTCACAGTTGAGCTAAAAAATAAAGATGGCGTCTGAAAGTTGCGTTTGGTGGTCAGTTTGTGTGTAAATGTATTTTTCGAACTAACTTTTTGCACTTTTGATGTTATTTCTATCGAGAAATCAGTATTATAGTAATTAAATATTAGTTTAGTTATCACAAAAACTTGTTCTATTTTGTTGTAGATCATAAAACCGTTATGCTGCCTAAGAAGCCTGTCCGAAATCAGTTTCATGAGGTGCCTTCGTGCAAAAACGCTGCCTGCAAAGTCATTGCCTCATACTGCAGCGAGGCAGCAAGTCAGCTGCCTAAGTTTTCGGATTCAGCCATCATGTGGAAAGAGAGTGCTAATTACTTTCAGAGATATGCAGATGCTGCTCATTAAACTCGGCTGACTGTCATTGGCTCTCACATAGCAGGAAGTAAAAATACTAAGCCTCTCACTCACTCCTCAGTTTTAATGAGAAATTCAAGTGAAACTCACACTGCTTTGTGAATAATACAAGCCTCGTTATTATCGTCATCCTAATGTTTCCTAATGTTGATTTTCCACCAAAACATCAAGATGCCATTTAGTATGACAGTTTCCTGGGGTCACGTTGCATTAGGCAAAAAGGTGTGGTTATATGTGGTCGCAGTGGTCTAGAAAGCGATAATTAAGGAGCACTTTCCAGTGCTGTTGTCACAGCGTTTGCCTTTCCAACAAGCAGACTCACTCCTGAGTATTAATTACTGTATGTGTTACTGTGGAAAGATGATCTCATTTCTTTCAACAAACCTCTCATTACCATCTTCAAGCCGCTTGTGTTCACGTGGAAATTGCTTTTGTTTCGGCTGTTCGCAGACAATGGCATTAGACTGGACTACTGAGTGAACAAGAAAGATTATTTACAAAACTGATCATTCTGGTCCTGGATGCTGATTCTAGCACTCTAGCTGTGCTGAAGTACAGATACAGTAACAGTTATGACTCTGGACTGTTTATTCTGTGGATGGCACTTAATGCACTTGATTAATAAAATAATGTTTCAATGTTTCCTTAATACTTTACTGTTTTATAAAATCAATAAGGCTGTGTTAAACGGTAAATACATTCTGCTTTTAATCTAATCTAATTTAATCCTTTAAATCCTCCTTATAAGTTTACATTTACATTTAGTCATTTTGCAGACGCTTTTATCCAAAGCGACTTACAATTGGGGAATACATAAAGCGATTCTTCTTAAAAAGGCAAACAGACACAGGAAGTGCTCATAATACCAAGTTTCAGGCATTGTTCAAATAAGTACAAGCTAGAAAGCGAAGGAATGAATAAAGAGAAAGACAAAGTTTTTTTTCTTTTCTTTAATTTAGGATGAAATCAAGTAGCGTCGAAAGAGATGAGTTTTCAGCTGTCGCTTGAAAATTGTCAAGGATTCAGCATTCAGGATAGTGGTGGGAAGATCATTCCACCAGCCAGGAACGGTGAATGAGAATGTTCTGGAAAGTGTTTTTGAGCCTCTCTGTGATGGTACCACGAGGCGTCGCTCACTAGCGGATCTCAGACTTCTGGAGGGGATGTAGATTCATAGTAGTGAGTGGAAATAGGCGGGTGCTGAGCCTGTGGCTGTTCTATATGCAAGCATCAATGTCTTGAACTTGATGCGACCCGCAACCGGCTGCCAGTGCAAGGAGATAAAGAGAGGTGTAACATGGGCTCTTTTGGGCTCGTTGAAGACCAGTCGTGCCGCTGCATTCTGAATCATTTGTAGAGGTTTGATTGTGCTTGATGGAAGTCCAGCCAGAAAAGCATTGCAGTAGTCCAGCCTAGAAAGGACAAGGGCCTGGACAAGAAGTTGAGCAGCATGCTCTGTTAGAAAGGGCCTAATCTTTCTGATGTTGTGCAGTGCAAACCTGCAAGATCGAGCAGTCTTTGCAATGTGGTCTTTGAAGGTCAGCTGGTCATCAAAGATTATACCAATATTTCTGACCAAAGTTGATGGGGTAATTGTAGAAGAACCTAGCTGGATGGGGAAATCCTGCTGTAGAGTTGGAGTGTCAGGGAAGACAATTGACTCAGTCTTTGCCAGGTTGAGCTGTAGGTGATGTTCTTTCATCCATGCCGAGATGTCCGCCAGGCAGCCTGAGATCTGTTCCTACACAAATGTGCATTTAAAAGGATCTGGACAGAAGAAATGCTTGTGTTAAGCAATTTCATATTTCTTCCTGTCTTTTTGGCTTATTGACAAATACAGGAAGCATTTTAGCACTAATGCAACAAAATTAAGATAGTTTAGGTCTGTAGTTGTTGCTTTATGTATTTGTCTTTCTTGCACTGCTGCAAAGCATCTGCTTCATTACCTGGCTAAATAGGTAGTATTTTCTGACATGCTTCATCTCTAATTTTCATTAATAGTACACAATACTTTATGCATCCAAATTAAATTGTACAATCAACATCCACAATGAAAAATGTGATCATTCAAAACATGACATGAGCTATAGTCACAGATGAAGGTTTTCTTGATATATAGTAGCAAGCATGCATCATTATTTCTTAATCATATCAGCTTATTGACTTCCAAAGTGTAGTTCGTTGGAAATTAGTTCAGATTCTTGTAAAATCAACTCAAGCTTGATTTTGTAGTCGAGACCAGCTCATTCGAGTCTTGAGTCCTGATCGAGACCTGAGTAGGTTGAGTCTGGATTAAGACCAAGACCAGAAGAGGGTTGAGTCTGAGTCCAGATCAGGACTGGAAGATGGTCGAGTCCGAGTCAAGACCGATACTTAAAGGGATAGTTCACCCGAAAATGAAAATTCTGTCATTAATTACTTACCCTCATGACGTTCCAAACCCGTAAGACGTTCGTTCATCTTCGGAACACAAAATAAGATATTTTTGATGAAATCCAAGAGCTTTCTGACCCTGCATAGACAGCAACACAACTATGGTAGTAAGGACATCAATAAAATAGTCCATGTGACATCTGTGGTTCAACCTGAATTTTATGAAGCTACGAGAATACTTTTTGTGCACAAAGAAAACAAAAAATAACGAATTTATTCTACAATTTCTTCTCTTCCATGTCAGACTTTGACGCACGTTCATGACGCATGCGTGTGCATTCCTCTGCTTGTAAACAAGGCGCATCCGGGTTCATCTTCAGAATGACGGCTTCTGCGTCAGCAGCAACACACGCATGTGTCGACTGACACAGAGACCTGAAGAGGGTTCAGTCCGAGTCAAGATTGAAACCAGAACAGGGTCAAGTTTAAGTCAAGACTGAGAACAGAACAGGGTTGAGTCCAGGTCAAGATAGAGGCCAAAAAAAGGGTCGAGTCTGAGCCAAAAATGATAACTGAAGTGGGTCGTGTCAGAGTCAAAACAAGAGTCCAAATGCTCCCGAGAAGACCAAGACCCTGAAAAAGTTGATTGTGGACTCTTCTCCGGTCTTACAAGCACCAGTACTACAACTCTAAATTGGTTACACATAATCATGTTGGCCAAACAAGGCACTGGGAATTAACAGGGTCACAAAGGCCAGACTTCAGTGGTCAGCGGGTCAGCAGCATATGTTTTGATGTGCTGGTGTCCCAACAAAGCTTCTTTACTAGCTTAACCAGCTTCACCAGTCAGTTCTGACCAGTTTGGTCCAGCATGGGAATTCATGCAGGTCTACACTGGCCTTTCAGCAGGGTTGACCAAGTTTAGAGACTTGAAGTTTAGAACGATCATTGCTGCTTATATTTCACTTCGATTTCCTGCAGCAGCCATCAGTAAGGAATGATGTGAGACATGGGCCCCAACAAAAGAGGCAAACTCGATATTTCTCACTCTCTAATTTGACAGAGACATCCTGTCCATTAGTAGCGCATCGTAAACAGTCTTGCGTTTACTCGGCATTACTGAATTGTCTGTAAATGGTTTGCTAACAGCCCTGAAAATGACATTAGAGTGATTTATTGGAGATTTGTTTTCAGAGCCATGTGAAATGGTCTGAGTGTAGACCAGCTCTGATTACAAGATGAGTGCGGAGCCCAAGTGAGATGATGCGCTCTCTGATTAGCGGTATGATTCTCTGAAGAGGACGCGCGCTCTCTCGTCTCGTCTCAATAGATGAGGCTCCTCGTTTATTATTGAGAAACAGCATTGTAGAAAGTGAAAATTCTCAGGGTCTGACATACCGTGAGCACTGAGCTTCCTTTTCCGTAAACAGCCCCGATCAGCCCATGCAGTATCCACTCTGCTGCTGGAATACGCCAGGGAGGAAACACTTTCTGTGGTGACTGTGTGGCGTCCCGGCTGGCAGGGCTTGGCTGGGCTAAATGTGCCTCTGCGCTGCCGTGATTAGCCGTGTCGCCACAAATCTGTGTAATCCTGCAGGACATTAGAAGCCCCGGCAGCATATGGAGGCGTAATGTGCTCAGGCACTGAGATGGGCTGATTTAAGTGGATTTGAGGCTTTTTCAGGGTCTGATTCTTGGACTGTGGGTGCCAATCAGCCCTGCTTGTACAGAACAGCTCGGACCCTGAACGTACAGGATGTTTTTTTCTAGCTCTCTTGTAGAGATATCTGCACTGATTGCAGCATCTGTGTCGGGAAACGGCTGAGTGTACATTTTAAGTTCATAGGAATGGAGGTGGCCACGATAATGTGCTGACGTGTACATTATGGAGGAGGAAGCCAGCCAGCCAATCAATCAGCCACTTCATTCTCCTTCTGGAAACGACCAGATGAACTTTGCTAACTTGATTAGACCTGCAATGCAATTTAATAGAGGAAATCAACAAAGAACTGTCGGCCATTAGTTTATTGGACCTCACCCACACCACTGGTGAGGCCAAAAACAGCACCCGTGTGGTTTAGAGGTTGAGTTAGCCAAAAGTTTCCAAAATTTAGAAGAAATTAATAGATAATATAAAATACTTTGTCATGATGGATAAAAAAAAATAAGATGGCCATTGTTTCCATACTTTAGAAAGACTTCTAGAGTAATGGATGCTAATAGAGATTTTTTTTGTCACTTTATAGACCTAAACTTGAAAAATAATAACATTATTGCCAATGCTGCACAAATAATGTAACTGGCTTACTTAATGTCATAAAAGAAATGCACTTACTGAAAATGTTCATATTGGGAATATCAAGGCAAAATCTACATTTACAAATGGAATTGTATGAATATAAATTAGGAAAACTTTGGGTCAGTAAGATTTTTTTTTTTTAAATCAGCAAGGACACATTAAAATGATCAAACGTGACAGTAAAGACATTTATCTAGTTCAAATAAATGCTGGAACTTTCTAGTTATGAAGAATCCTGAAAAAAAAAACATCATGGTTTCCACAAAAATATTAAGCAGCACAACTGTTTTCAACAGCTTTGCATCACAGGAATAAATTACATTTTAAAATATATTGCAATAGACAACGGTTATTTTAAATTGTAATAATATTTTACAATTTTACTGTATTTTTGATTAATACATGCAATACATGTTTTAGGAACATGAAAGTAACAAAGAATTATAATAGAGTCTGACAGAAAGCCAATCCATCAGAATGACAGATAATGATGATTTGTACAGTGCTTGTCCCCTCCTCGTGACCCTGTTCTTTGATTAAAAAAAGGAGTTAGTTATTAGCATTTGGGTTTTCAAGTACTTCTTCAGTGTTCCCCTCAGTAGATCACTGTATATTGTGCAGTTTAATTTTAGCTTGATTTAAGAAGCATTTTCCAGACGTCTTTTATCACCTCATATTTCTTCTGCTGAAATGAAAATACTTGATTGTCGTAGAAGCAGCTCAAGATTACTGCTGGCCAGACTCATAAGAAATGTTCTCATTACTCTCTTGCAGTGTGTAAATTCAAGGCCCACAAAAGATGCGCAGTCAGGGCCACCAACAACTGCAAATGGACAACGTTGGCCTCTATCGGCAAGGACATCATTGAGGACGAGGATGGGGTGAGTCTCATAAAGCCCGTAGTTCAGTGAGCTAATGCATAACCTTTGATTGAATAGCAGAAGTCTGGTCTATGGGTCTGCTGGTGTACATTTGTATTATATTCTGTTCCTGTAGATTGCGATGCCACACCAATGGCTGGAAGGCAACCTGCCTGTCAGTGCTAAGTGTGCCGTTTGCGACAAAACCTGTGGCAGTGTGCTGCGCTTGCAGGATTGGCGTTGTTTGTGGTGCAAAGCCATGGTATGAACTTCATATCCCAGAATCCCTTATGACTATTTGAGTTCAAAGAGTTTGTGAACTCTAAAAGCTGTCTGTGCTTGGACAGGTGCACACGGCATGCATGGATCTCTACCCCCGCAAATGTCCCCTCGGCCAGTGCAAAGTGTCCATCATCCCCCCTACCGCCCTCAACAGCATCGACTCGGACGGTAAGACTTTTCTTTTCACAAGAGTGACTTCAAGAGGGATTATTCTAGTCAGAGTTTATACACATAAATATTGATGAATATTCATTTAATTTATTAATATGAATAATATGATTTCTACAATAAATATGCTGTATTTAAATAAGAACATGGTCATATTATTTATACTTTTTTTTTTAAATGAATGTATTATTATAATTATATAAGAAATTATTAATATGCATTTTCTGCAAAAAATAATTTAATTTATTAATATGAATAATATGATTTCTACAATAAATATGCTGTATTTAAATAAGAACATGGTCATATTATTTATACTTTTTTTTTTAAATGAATGTATTATTATAATTATATAAGAAATTATTAATATGCATTTTCTGCAAAAAATAATTTAATTTATTAATTTAAATGCTGTATTTGAGTGAGAATAATTTAAATGGCTATTGTATTTATTCTTTTTTTTTTAAATTATTATTATTATTATTATTATTATATAAGCAACCTTGAGCTTGGGAAAGGTGTTTATAAATAACACATTATTATTATTATTATTATTATTATTACTACTACGACTACTTTTACTACGTGTCTTTGTGCAAAATATTAATTTAATTTATTAATTTAAATGATATTATTTATATTGTATTTATACTGTATTTGGGTGAGGATAATTTAAATGGTCATAGGATTTATTCATCTTATTTTTTAATGAAATTATTATTATTATTATTATTATTATGGCTCACTTTTTGGAGGTTATAATCTCAGTAAAATAAGAATACATAAAGACATAAATACATACATACATAAGCAAGCAAGCTATAAAACAGGTTGTTCTGAATGTCCACTAACCTTTTTTTTTTTTTACTGTTTATTTATTTATTGCTATTTTTTTCCAATATTAAATTTTCAGTTGTTTTTTTTTTCAGATTGTTTTTTTTTTTTGGTCTTGGGAGAAGTTTTGAGTTATGAAAGTTTCCATTTGTTTTCATAGTACATGAAACCCTTTCATTTCAAAAGGTCAAGGTCACTAAGAATGGGTGATTGCCTGATTGCGTGCTTCTGCATGATCCCACTCTGGATATAATGTATGATTATGTATTGGCGTGTGTGTGTGTGCATGTGAAGTGGTGGGAGGAGCTCAGGTGGAGGGCTGCTGTAGATGGAGCTCATTAGCTTTACTAATTCCCAGGCTGCATGAAGAGCAATATCTTTTTCATTATACCTCTGACCTCTTCTTATTTGATCATACAGGATGTGTTTTCTCCTCTCCTGAGAGACACTTTGTGTCCATGTTCCTTTATTTTTCTTTCCCATCTCTCCTGTATATGTCAGGGTGGTGTGGAAAGTCACTTTCCCTTAGAGCATCTTGTCCATTACGTCCGGGTGACAATAGAACCCTAAGAGTGCTCTTTGCGGGTAAGCGTGCACGTTATCCTTGCCGCGTTTCTAAGAATCAATTCTACAATAAATCAGTTTTTACAAATGAATCAGTGACAGTTAGCTGTAGCATGTTGTAGATAACAATGTAATACTCTTAATAAAAAAAAACACATAAATATTGGGTAAAATAGTCATTTTTAATGATTACTATTTTATTGATACTTTTCAGTAAAGAATGAATTAAGCTTACTTCTAATCAGAATTTCGCTCACTTTCATCCACCATCCTGGTTCACTGCAGTGCAAGCTGGGTGTTTTTTTGTTTTTTTTGTGGTGCTGCCTTAGCATTTGGCCAAAATAATGTATCTACGTCTTGAAAAAGCTATTGGAGCTAAAAAGTTTCTAATCTTTTTTTGTTCTTTTCCTGTGACAGGTTTTTGGAAGGCCACCTGTCCCCCATCATGCGCTAGTCCACTCCTCGTGTTTGTCAACTCAAAAAGCGGAGACAACCAAGGGGTCAAATTCCTGCGTCGCTTCAAACAGCTGCTCAATCCCGCTCAGGTCTTTGACCTGGTCAATGGTGGACCTCATTTAGGGTAAGACCAGCATGCCAAAAGTCACAGGAAGTGAAATATTGATTATCATCTTAGAAGCAAATCAGTGTTTTTACTTGTTTTGCTGTTGTTTACAAAAGAGGTTGTTGATGTATGATGGTTTATAAATCAACATACAAGTTTTCAGGTCCCATAACTGCTATTATTACATTTTTAATAACTTTTTTTGGGCATGTTTTAATGATCCTACAGTGGGACCAAATCAATTTTTCTATATAGTCTGAGCTCATAAAAACTGCAGGCATAATGATTATAAAAGAATAGAAAAATGATTTAGCATGTCACACCATTGCACGTTAACTACCCAAACCTAATCTCGCATGATCCCTTTATTTGAACTGTGTGTGAGACTTTTTGAGAAGCATTTTAAAGTTTGCGTGTCATTTTAATTGTTCTTTTCTCTCTTTCAGCCTTCGCTTGTTCCAAAAGTTCGACAACTTCCGAATCCTCGTGTGCGGTGGAGATGGAAGCGTTATGTATTATAATGGGTTTATGTGAAGATTGTTTTAAGTTCACTTAAATTAGAAGTTGTGAAATTATTGCAATATGAAAGTGTATTTAAAAACTTTAATGTTAGGTGGGATTAATCACGATTAATTTAAAAAAAAATGTGATTAATTAGTTCATTATTTTAATTGATTGACAGCACTAATTAAAATGCTACAAAAATGTTATTTAGCATATATTAAAGGCCAGTTGTGGAGTGATTTAGTTTTCATGCTCAGGAAATGTTACATTCTCTCGTCCTGCTATTGCAGTTTATGTTGTGTGTGTGTGTGTGTGTGTGTGTGTCGTGGCTTTAGTTACAGATATCTGGTTATGAGGATTCAGTGGCTGCTCATCTCACGAAGATCCTGAACTCAGATAAGCACTCAGTGGTCATATCTTCATCAAAGTGAGTCCTCTCACACTATACAGTTCATATTCCATCACTAACAAACCGAAACACAGATAAACACAATTTCCTCTCGTCTCCTCCAGGGTGTTGTGTGAGACGGTGAAGGAATTTGTTGCCAAAGTTGGGAAGTGTTATGAGAGAAACAGTGACAGTACAGAGGAAGCTGATGCACTTGGCCTCAAAGTGAGTCTGTGATGCCTCACCTCATGACAGCTCTTTCAGTCATTACTCAACACGTGTGCAGAAATACAGTGAAAACGCTGTATAAACCTGTTTATCAATGCAGCACCCTTTCCTTTGTTCTCTGTCCACAGTGTGCGATACTGAACGAGAAGCTGGACTCCCTCCTGCAGACGCTGAATTTGGAGGCGCAGGCCATGACACCCTCAGCCCTCACCACGCCACCCATCGTGGAGGAGGAGGTGGAGGAGGAGGAGCTGGAGGAGGAGGAGGATCTGAGTGAAGAGTCTTTAACGGAGCTGAAGGAGAATGAGACTGAGAAAGGCTCTGCTCATAAGCTCTTCAGACCCCGCGAGCAGCTCGTGCTGAGAGCCAACAGCCTGAAGAAAGCGCTCAGACAGATCATCGAGCAGGCAGAGAGAAGTATGATTGTCCAGCATGTCTTTCTACGTCTTTTGAATCAAAAAACAAACAAACACTGATCTCCTGCTTACAGAATGCTGCTCTGGATATCAGCGTCTCTTAAATGACTAATCACATGACTTAAATCAATTATATTCAAATGGATTAGTCACATGAGCCCTGAGGGTTCATCTTGATTTTCAGGCATTTCTATTTTTTTTAAATGGGGGATCAACCAGTGTGTCAATTAATCAATAGGTTTTAGTAATACTCTGTAATTCTTTGTTTCCAGGCCTGGGCAATATATTTAAATATGAAATGATATATGATATAATAAATACAATAACATTTTGTGTACATATATATATATATATATATATATATATATACACATATGTAATAACATGAACATTTTATTTAAAAAATATTAACTTTAAATACAAAATATAAAAAAAATAGAAGATATCTTTAGAAGAAGATTGTAAAATGTTTCAGATGCAGCACATTTTACTTTTCAAAATATGGTTAAATATTATCTAAATATTATATAATAAAAATAAATAGAATACAATTTTTGTATAGATTTAAATTATAAATGGCCTGATGGTTAGAGAGTCGGGCATGTGACCCAAAGTTCGCTGACACCATACTTGGCTACACGTATGATAACATATGATAATATAATAATAAAAATGTTATAAAAATCTTAAATGCAAAATTAAAAAAAATAGTAATTAGTATTTGATCTGTAGAAGAAGATTGTAAAATGTTTCAGATATAGCACATTTTAATGTTAAAATATACTTTGTTTGCCACATTTTTCAATTAATTTGAACTAAATTATCACAAACATAAGTGATATTGGGCCATGTTCGTTTATTTGAATAAAACAACAACAATATAGAGTAATAAATAACAATATTTACTTAAGTACATATTTTTTACTTAAAAAAAGAGGACATTTCTTAGTGATGATGCCAACAAATGTAGAGTTTTGAATTGATTTATTTCAACGGAAAAGCGATTCAAGCTAGTTGCCTTTCTGCTATTGAGGATTAAAGTCAATGTGAAATGATGTAAGAGTAATTCTTGATATCAGCCAAACAAATGTTTTTTTCAGAGCTGAAGTAATTCTCAAGACAAGGAAGGATTGTGAAACTAGTCTGATGACGTGCTCTTTGGAAAACTTAAACAAAAAGCCCATTTAATAAATCGTAATGCTCACAATTTTGTGTCATTAGGCCTCCATCAAAAACATGAATATTAATATATTAATAAATGTTTTCCCAGCCTTGCCTTATTCTGTGTTCCACGTGAAGAAGTGCATGAATCAGGAGGTTGTGTTTGTGTGTGTGCTGTAGTGGTGGATGAGCAGAACGCTCACACGGAGGAGCAGGAGCTGCAGTCTCCCACTGACTTCAGGAAGGACAGTGAGGAGGAAAACCGAGACAACGAGAAGGACGAGGACACTAAAGAACTGGAAGCTCTGCCCTGTGAGTTCACTCTTCTCAAACGTAGACACATTGTCGCTGTTAACTGCTTCCTATGAGACACAAAGTGTTCTTGCTTACCGGCCTTAAAAGCTGAATCCTCCATTGGGCTGCATTCAAGTGCCAGGATGTTTTTTTTTTTGTCTCACTGGAGCTGTTTGTGCATGAAAAGGCTTTTTTAAGTCTATTCTTTATAAAGGCTTGAATGATGCACTCTGCACAGTATGCACATTTTCTGTATGCTTGGAATACTCATATGAATTATTATAGTTGCCAAAATGACGATTGTACGGTATGGGAGAAGTCTAAACTAAGTACTACTTCTTCACCACAATGCAATGCACGTGACTCCCAGTGTGACTAAGAAACTGAAAGTAAAGTTAGGCGTGATTTTTAACATCTCGTTTTAGACTAATTATTTAATCAGGCTGCCAAAAGTTATATTTTTAACATAAAATTCAAACCGAACGCCACTCATGTGCAACGTGATGAGATCATGTGACTACTATTTGAAACATTTATGGCGGAATAATGCAGTACTAACATGCAAAAACAGTAGGCCGTATAGAGTACATACTGGACGTTACTGTAATATTGTAATATTATTGTAGTATTGTAATAGCACTTTATTTAGGATGGATAATGTGTGAACTGTGATTCAGACCTTGTTCTGTTTGTGCCTGAAAGGGTTAGTGCTGCCCTCTAGTGACAAACTCATTATAGTAAATTATTTCAATTCAATGTCACGTTTAAAAAAAAACCTAATTAACAGCAGCAGCAAAAAAAAAAGAGATTATTATTATTATTAATAATGATAATAATAATAATATATTTGGGTTTATTTTTGATAAATAAATAAATACTCTTAGTTGTTTTGCACATCATCATCATCATCATTATTATTATTATTATTATTAGGGGTGTTTTAAAAAAAAAACTGTACTTGCAGATAATATAGTATTAATAAAATAAAAGCACACTCAAGTTTACTTGTTTCAAGTTTCATGTTTCTTAACACACTTAAGTACACTTTTAAAAAGTGCACTTTGTAATAA